CTGTATGTGTGTTTGTATGCTTACACAAGCATTCATATGAATGTGTGTGTGTGTATATATATATATATATATATATATATATATATATATATATATATATATGTGTGTGTGTTTCTTCTGTATGCAGAAACTTGTATTTGGATAAAAATGTGACTGAACTTAACTTTACACTTGACCCATGCTACTTTGGTCTTTTATGTTTGTTAATGTGCTATTTTGGCATTTATTCATAGTCAAAATTTGGGGTCACCTTTTGAAAATCAAATTTATATTCTACAAATTTCAAAATGACAAAAAAAAAAAAAACAACTTTTTCTAATCTTGTGACCTTTTGAATAAAATATTCAATTCACAATAACATCAAAATATACAAAAAAAAAAAAAAACAATTTGTCCTTTTGCGTTAATTTTCTTAAAACCTTGTTCTACACTATTGTAAATTTGCATAAAATGCACGATGGATAAAGTTATCAAACTAAAACTATTTCAAGCAAGTGTAGTGTCTAAAATTAGAATGCAAAATTTTTCATTTATAATTCGCTGTGGGACTTGTTATAGACTATTATAAGAATTTACTCCTGTGTGTGTATATATATATATATATATATAACATCCAAAGATATAACACAAATATGTTATAAAATGGCTATTTTTGTAGTGATTTTTATAAATTTTGTAAATCGAATAAAAAATTTTCAATTCTTTTATAGATTTGTCCATGTATATATATATATATATATATATTTATATAAAATTTACACCAATAAGTAAATTGTTGCATTTTATTTTTCAATTTTGTGCATTTTGATTTTGCCGACTCCACAGTATAATAGGGTCAGTTGGGCACCGTCTTTGAGAAAAAGAGCACCATGATGCAATTCACTCCACAGAAATTTATTGTACTGCTTGGCATTAGTTTTTGCAATATAAAAATGCAGAGGATTCAGAAAGAGTTGGATGAGTCTAATGGTGATTACAAAGGTGTTTGGATCAAGTGAGACATTATTATTCAAAGGGCCTCAGAAAACTATTTCAGTGCAGCCCTGGGTCAAAGCTGTCAGAAAAGTGTTTCCAGGAAAATTAAACAGGAGAACCTAGTCATGGCTGTCAAAATTTTTGGCCACCTTTCCCAGACTGAAAATTATTATGCGTGGTGTGAAGTTGGTGAGGACATGAAAAAGATGAACTGAAGGCAAGGATTATAGACTTACTTAAACAAGGGGACTGTTCAGAAGAGGTGCAGGAATTCTAAAGTTATCTTGAGGCCGTGGTTGAAGTGTGTGAATGAATTTACTTTTTGTAATTTTTGTAAATATATATATATATGTTATATATATATATTTATCCATATATATATATATATATGTATATATATATATATATATATATATATATATTTTATTAAAAGAAAAGAAAAAGTTTATAACGGTGTTCTTAAATATTTTATAAAATAGTGCTCTATTTTTTGTAATTGATTTAAAAAATGGTTTTTTTAGTTCTAACCATCTTTTGCTGAATTTAATTTTTGATTAAATTAAAGACATTAATTCCAATCCTAAATAACTTTTTATACTGGGTTTTAAATTAAAACAAATTCATGTTTCAAGGTTACAGATAAATCTATTTTTCTGACAGCTGGGTTTTCAATATGTTTTTAAGAATTTGGGTCGTTGGAAGGGATGCATTTTTCAATGAAATTTGTTGCCTGTTAGATTTTTTTGGAATTTATTCTAAAATTCTTACCAATTTTTTTTTCCTATTTCCGTATTATGATTTAAAAAATTTTTATTTAAAAAGTAAAATTTTCATTTCTCCGATTTAGTGACTTTATTTATTTATTTAATTACAAATTGTTTGTGTATTTTATAGTTTTATACAACTTTTAAAATATTTTATTATTAGTTTTTTATAGCCTATATTTTTTTTAAAATGTTTTACCGTCAGTAAAATTATTTTTCAATATCAAGTATATTTATATTACGATTTTAAAAAATTTTATATTTAAATATTTAAGTAAAAATTTTTTTTATCTTTTAGCTACTTCATTTCTCTAATTTAAACTTTATTTATTTATTTAATTGCAATTTAAAAAGTTTAGGTTAGAATTCATTTTAATTTTAGTTTTAATTCAATTTTAAAATATTTTATTATTAGTTTTTAGGCTAACTTTAAAAAAATATCATTATTTGTAAAATTATTTTTTTATCAAGTATATTTATATTTCGATTTTTAAAAAATTTTATATTTAAAATAAAAAAAAGAAGCAAAAATGTAATTATTTCTCGATATAGTAAACTTTGTTTATTTATTTAATTACAATTTAAAGTTTAGTTTGAAATTTTTTTTACAACTTTAAAAAAATTCATTATTTGTTTTTTATAGACTATAATAATAAAATGTATTAGAGTTTTTAAGTGAAAATTTTTTTTTTTCAAGTATTTATAAATATTTTTTAAAAAAATTTTTATATTTATAAATATTTTTAAATAAAAATTTTTTTCCATAGTACTTAGTTTACTTTCACTAGGAAAATGCTTGACTATTAATATTTCATGTTAAATATAAGTATGTATATTACCTGATCCTATTTTATAAAATTATTTTTATTTTTAAATATTATTTAAGGAAAATTTTTGACAATGACAGCATAAAATAGCTATTTCATTTCTCTGATTCAGTATATTTTTATTTTTTATAAACTTAGCAATATATAGTTTCTCATGTATGCACAAAGGACATGGGTCATTTAATGACCTACATATTCTAGCTTTTCTTATTAACTTCCATTTTACTGTAGGAGTTTTATTTGATTCTTTTAGGTGCCAGAAATATTTTGATAGGGATGTCTGATTTTTATATTTATTTATTCTAAATGAAGTTTGATGTTGGTTGAATCTTCTTTTGAACTCCTGGCTAGTGCAACCTATATATATTTTTATGTTTTCAGGACTTTCGATCGAAGAGATATTGCATTGGTATACTACTGATTCAGTGCAACATTTATTTTGAAGAGGGCAATTATGAGGGTTTCTACAATTACATAATTTTTGTTTATTTTCATCAGTTTTTATTTTTACATTGTCTAAATTTTTGGGGTTATGGTATAAGTGTTTATTTAACATATTAGCATTATGGTTCTTAATAATTTTTTCTAAGTTTTCCGTACAGCTGTAACTCAATTTTAGTGTGTTTTTATTGAAAATAGTACTTTCACTAGGAAAATGCTTGACTATTAATGCAAGGACTATACTTGATATAGAAAAATAATTTTACTGACGGTAAGTAACATTTTACTTCTATTAAATGAAATATAGTCTATAAAAACTAATAATGAAAATATTTTAAAGTTGTAATTAAAACTGTAGTTAATTAAGATGAATTCTAACCTAAACTTCTTTTAATTTGTAATTAAATAAATAAATAAAGTCTACTAAATCGGAGAAATGAAAATTTTACTTTAGTAATATTTAAATATAAATTTAAAAAAAAATCATAATATACTTTATATGGAAAAAAAAAAAAATGCCGTAAGAATTTTAGCCGTTAACAATATAATTTAAAAAAATGTAGACGACAGGCTTTAACGGGAGTTAGATTTCATTGAAAAATGCATCCCTTCCCATGACCCAAATGTAGCAATAACTGATACATTAAATTATAGACATATTGAAAACCCAGCCACCCCTGTCTAGAAAAATAGATTTATCCTTACCTTGGAAACATGAATTTTGTTTTAGCTGTGTATTTAAAACCCAGTAATTTTAAAAAGTTACTTCAAAATTTGCTTGAGGATGAAATGGAATTAATGTCTTTAATTTAATCACAAAATTAAATTCGTGGCTTTTAGCTTCTATTTTTGAAACATGGTTAGAACTGTAGCGAAAAAAAACCATATTTTAAATCAATTAATTTATAATATATATATATATATATATATAAATAAATACAATGAGCTTTTTTTTCTGGTTGTGGTATTTTGAAGGTGCTAAATAAAGTCTTAAATTTGTCTTTCTTATCATTTTGATTTTGGTAGCTGGTGTTAAAGGGTGACAGTGTGTTCAGCTTTGGTGAAAATTATTGATCTTAATCTTTACAATAAAGAATTCTCAATTTAAAAGTAATTAACAAATCTCTCACTTGCCAAAAATATGATTTCATGCAAGGAAAGAAGGTAATTAGGAAATTTGCTAATTTTTGCTGGAATTTTTTAGATGAGCATCTCTTATTATTGAAAGTAGAATGAAAACAATCTACTCACATGGATTGAATAATAATAATAATAAAGGATTCTGTAGAAAATTGCAAGAAGTTTACCAAATATGATGCTGTTCATGATGGCAAATTATTCCCATTTCCTTTGTGCTCCTTCAATAATGAATAAATTCCTCTTGGATAGCTTCTTTAGAACTGTTACATTGTTTAACATTGAAAGGATGCTTCCCTGACTACTACAATCTTAACATCTTAAAGTTCAGAGTCAACCAATATCTATCCTACATATCCTCATAATATGCACTTTCTTCTACCTTACAACAATCTCACTTGGAAACCTGTAGATTTTGGGCTGTCTATTGGGTGAACTAAAATTTAAAAAAGAAAAAAAAAAACACCTGAAGAAATCTGTGGGTAAACAGCCAAAATGTGAGCTTAACAAGCAATATAAGCATGCTGATCTGATTAGTAAGGTGTATAGAATAATTACTTTTGGTTTTTGCCAAAGTAACTTTGAAAATAGATACAACATATATTTTTTTTTTTTTTTTTTTTTACCTGGAACTAAGTTTCTTTTGAGTGCTTTATTTATAGATTGTTTTTCCTTTTAACAAAAATCTATTTTGGAGAATAGCTTTACAAATGTCCTCTCATGTAATTGAATCTTAAAACTTTTAAAGGCCTCTAATCAAGATATAAAATAAAGTTTAGAGATGATAAATATGTTGTTTCTTTTCTGTACATTTTTGTGACTTTCCTTTTATAATTTTGTTTTCTGTTTATTGCAGTTTTCCCATTTGTCCGCAATCCTGAGGATCATCCTGTTTTTTCAATGCATTTTACACGACATTGGCAGGAGACCTATTTCTTGTCTTTGCACAACTTCCTCAGCACAGTCCTTCAGGTGATTCATATCCTTTGTCAATCATATATATGTGTGTGTGTGTATATATATATATATATATATATATATAAATATATTTCTCAACTGCAGTTAGTATTCTTTTGAAAGAAAAACTTGAAAATTAATCCCTACATTTTTACAGTCAATTTTTAAATTTGTGAATAGCTTTTCTATTATAGGTAAAGAACTTTTTTCATTATTATTATTATTATTTTTTTTTTTTTTTTCCAGAAAAACTTCTGCCAGAATAATAGGTCTCTCTTAGTTTGTTACAAAATATAATACATTTTACTATAGGAGGACTGGCTTAAGAATATACAATTTGGAATCATTTAGATATACAGGTGATAAGGTCATGATAATTTTTTTCACTCTCAAATTCTCCATGGAATGATTGACTTATTATCAACCCCCAACTCACTATTTCTTTTTAGTAAAAAAATTAAAACAATAATAACTTCATATACAGCAACAACAAGCATAAGACATTAGCAGAAGAATGAAAACAATAATAATTCTTTTTTCTAATAATCTTTATGAAAATAAGCATTAACTATAAGTACAAGTTACATATTGAGAACATCAAAATAAAGCAGGTGCAGAAATTTAACTGGTTAGTGTAGTTCCTTTCCCACAACCATAAAGTAGTTTCCCTTCCCTGTGTCTTTTCTATAAATACTTTCATAGTAATTGTACTGATGAACTTTCTGCTATGGTACACATCCTAGGTATGATGATAAACTACATCTGACAGCAAGGCCTTTGATCAGGAGGTTTTGAGGAGTGTGGAACCACCTCTTAATTGCTGGTGTTCCCAGGGGTGGTAGCACCTGTCAGGGTCCCCTATGGGAAAATAGTTAAGTGGTTAAAACACTATAGAAGTATAAAAATAGGTTTTAATACCAGCAATACATTTTTGGGGAAAAAAAAAATATTACCAGCAATAAAAATTTTGTCAGCATTAAATAACCCATTGAGGTTGATATGCCGTAAAACAAACCAAACCAAAGCAAACCTCTATGGTACCTAGACTTTATGAATTTGAGTGCAGTACTAGATTGGCAGCAAGGTCTCATCAATTTACAGTTGAAATGGTTTGATGTAATCGTAAGTTTCTTCTCTTGCACTTTTCACTTGTGGAACTCTCTTTCAGCTTCTTGCTTCCAAGTCAACTTTGTCCTCCAAAAATTTAAAAGCAATATCAATTGTTATCTTCTGTTTCTTAATTCTTGTTCTTTTATTGTCCTCTTTCCTTAATAGTAGTTTTTCTCATATTTTCTAACACTCAGTAACCTCTTGTGTCCTAGTGCCTTGCTTGGGGTGTAATGAGAAAAAAAGAAAAAATGCAACGGACAATGGAAAGTGTGATGCAGGAACCTGCGGGCACATCTGAATAGTAAAAGATGCTTTCACAAACTGAACAAAAGATGAAGTGATTGTAAAAGCAAAGAAACAAGTGCTACATTATTTAATGTTTAATATCTGGTTGTGAATGCTGGACAGTTTTGTCACAAATGAAAAAAAAAGTGACAGATTTTATTCTACCAAGAAATGTTGAGTATACCATGAATAGAGTATGCTAGAAATTAAAAACTTTACAATGAGAGTTACAAAGAAATTGTTGCTAACAATAAGAAAGAGACAGCTGAAATTTTTTAGAAACATCATGAGGAAAGAAGGCTTGGAGAATATAATTCTCAGAGGGTTTATCAAATCAAAGGACAAACATTGTGGAACTTCTTAGTGGATGACAGAACAAGTACAACAAAGTGGGGTCCATATGTAAGCAAGAATTGCTCACAGCAACAAAAGACATGGCGGCATCTGTTCCATAGAGAAACGATAAGAAGGAATTACCTTCCATTGAACATTTATTAATTATTGTGATAGCCAGTCTCATGAACACTAGATTGTACACTAAAAATATGTTCATAGATGGAACTACTACAGCCTCTTATTTTATTTACTACAGTCAATACAGAAAGTGTTATTGGCAAGCTGAGTTCAAATTCTGGGCCAGTCTATTGCATTCACTTTTGCAAAAATTTCATTAGAAAAGGTATGAATCCATTTCTTCTTCTTCTCTCTCAGTTATGGATTAAATTGCAAAGTAGACTGAGCTCTCTAGCCTTGGATGACAACCAGTCTTAAACTCTGAATTGTGAAGTGTGGAGAAGCCAACAGGAAACAACTCCAGTCTGTGAAACATTCAGGGAAATTCACAGGTGATAAAGAAAATCTGTGGAGAATCATATGGTCGCCTTTGCCTTTGGAATGGTGGCCTTACCATTAACAAAGAAAAAAAAAATGAAAGTGACACAATAACAAATAATGATAAGGTGTGGTTGAGATAAGTAAAAGGTGATTTCCCCATGATTTAGAAGGTTTGATCGTTCTGGTACATCATATATGTCATGGGAGACAGTCTGTTCAGGGTGTAACACATAGTAGTAGTTGAAATAGACACATGGAGAAAATCAACAAACTTATGTAGTCGAGTGAGATAGACTTGTGGGAGAAAATCCACATGCATATGTAGTTGGAAGTTAGTTTCTGCTGCTGCTGGTTTTGTCGCTGGTTAGAGGCATTACTACTGTTGGAGCTGCAGATGGCCAGGTTAAGCTTGCCTGCCATGGATCCATTGCTAATGCCAACCAAGTTGGATCTGCCTTCATGGGTGAAATCAGTATTAACTTTATAGTCGATGGCTCAGAAATGGCTGCTACAAAAATCATGTTGGCCTTTCCTGATTTCATGACCCTGGTATTTTCACACAGTATTTTAGGAGTGGGTGCATAAATGTAGAGTGACTGGCTATGGTTAAATGTAAATAAGTGTCAGAAGTGCCCAACAAACAGAATTGATAAAGTTTGCAATAAATAACAACATGAAAAAGAAAAGAAAAGGGCAAAAAAATAAAGCAAACAATATATGCAAGGCAAATTAACAGTAATAAGGCAAAGCAACAATAATATAGCAAAAAGTTCACAAAGTAAGAATTGGAGTTGACACACAAGAGCAAGTTCAGGCAAATGAACATGGTGTTCTAATTTCAAGACAAGACTGACCTGGACTAAGTCAGATGAAACCAAGAACTGGCCTGTCTTATCGACTAGGAAGAAATTTCAATATGCATTTGTGTATTTCTGCCTAAAAATTGGTGTGGGGCAAGTGTTTTGCAATCATTTCCTGTCAAGATTAGAACCAACATTTAGATGAAAAATTGTTTGAAACTAAATGCTTGATGTCATTTATGGATTTGTTTTCTGGGATTAGTAAAATTTTAATAGAAATGTCAACTTCTTTCAATTCTGAATAGATGAAGTCTTGATCTTGAATTTGCTCCAAGGCTCAGACCAATGAAAGATCTTAGTAAAACTATATTACTTTTGCTGAAAGACACATCTATATACTTATGACTGTCGGTTTTCATTCGAATTGTTCAGGAAATTATCAAAGAATTTTATACACAATTAATCTGGAAACCCTGTTAGATTGTCAGAATGTGTTCAACTTAGAAAGTTGGTATAAATAAAAGAAAAATTATTTAATTGTGAGATTAATAATGAAAATACATAAAATATTTGTGTTCAAATAATTTAAAACTATTTTTTCATCTTGAACTGATTTGTTTTTTGGTCTGTCACCTGATTTAATACTCCCCCCCTCTTGTATCCATGAACAAAAGTAAACAAACATGAATTAACAAAGAATTAAAAATTAATTCTTTTTAATTTTCTATTTATTTCTTCCTTAACAATTTTTCACCTCGTCCAGCCTTGTTATGCTTTGATGAGGATACAATACTAAAGAAAAAGATTTTGCAAGAAAATGAGATGTTAAAAATGAAGGTAGGTCACTTTTGTGTTTGTTGAGAGTCTGAATTCAAATTTTGATGAAACCCACATGCTGTGTGCTGAAAAGTTCTCAGCCTGACCAAAAAGATTTGAAAAAAAATGTTTAGTCATTTGTACAGATTTTGGGGAGGTGAAGAACTTTTCCGCATGATCTCATATGTTCATGTGTTATTGAAATCAACTGGCAAGGTTTGTCTTTTATTTTTATTACACTTTTACACTTTGTCTTTAAGCTGCTATTATAATCTAAACATTCCTGATGACAACTAATGAGATGGTCAAAAGTACTTTAACAAATTTTGTAAGAAACTGTCTAAAGTTCTTGAAATTTCTTACTAAATTTGATCAGGAAGTCTGACAACTAACAAAAATCTAACGAACTTTATCGGTCCATTTCAATGAAATGTTTGAATGAATTCTTCCTGCCTAAGAATGTTTTATATGCAGCTGCACACAAAGGATTCTACAAAAATATTGCTTCTTATTTCCTTGAGAACTACATAATATACAGGGAGCACAAAATAGCATTGGATAGAAGTAGGTTTCCAGTTACTACACATTTTTTGCTGGTGATAAACAAGAGCTCTATATTTCATAGGCTGACAGCTGTCCAGAACATAGCTTGTCATATGCACACCACACTTGACATTGCTGAAATGTGTTACCTACTGTTTAACCAAACTTGCATCCATTCTTTGGTCTCCATAAATGTTCAGTAAGTATTAATGAATATTAAGAGCTGGATGTTTTTTTCTTCCTGGAGGAATTCAATGTTACATTCCTGTTTCATGTGCACTTTCATGTCAGATGCCATTTTGTCAGACTGCTACACAGCTACACTCTGTAACAAGGAAAAATGTGCTATTACTGGAATTGTTCAACCTTTAATACCATACCAATAATATTGACTTCTGATGCCACTGTGCAAAATAATAATACTAATATAGAAAGCCTTACTTTTGAAATCACCTCTCTGTGTTTGTGTGTCTACTCATATATAAAGGCTGTATCTATGGAGGAAATTTTCATTTAAACAGATTTTGTTAAAGATAACAATGTTTGTTATATTTTTAATAATTTTTTATTGTTGATAAATAAGTTTTCAGAGTGAAGGTATAAGTGTACAGTTTGTGTTCTTTATTAAGCTTCTGAGATTTCAACTGGTTTCAGCCATGATGAAGAAAGAAAGAAATTAGATGAAATTCAAGATCCATGTGGTAGTTTGCATCTATAAGACCATTATTGTTTACAAATTCACTTGCTCAGCTGGAGATTGTATCTCTGAAAATAACAAAAAAAAATGAATGCATCTTAATCTCATGTAGGATACACAACCACAGCTCTGTCTTGCATACTCACATGCCATAATGCTGATCAAAGTGCTATATGATGATACATGATAAGAAATCTTAACAGTTACAGCTCCTTGTGAAGAATAACACCGTATTGAAGAAATAAGAAAATATTAGAAATTTTAGAAGCCATACATATTAAGTCAAAACAGTCAACAAAATCAGTTAAGATTTTAGCATGGGCATTGTAAAATAGATTTTAATTCTCAGAATCTAAACTACATCATGCTCATATTTCTACTACAGTTTAAAAAAAAAAAAGCATCATCATCATGTGACAGTAGAAATATTTGAAGCTCAAAATTGAAAATCATTACAAAGATGCAAAACTAACAACATGCAGACATTTAAATTTCATTTAATTTCCTTCTTTCTTGGTAATGTTTGAAGCCAGTTGAAAAATTGGAGCTTTACCAAGAATGAACATAAACCCTGGACAGTCCCTTCACACCTTCAGCATGATATACTGGAATTAATTCACCAAGAAGAAAACTTGTCTAATGATTAACAAAACTTGTTTGAATATATATAATTAATAATCTATATAATATATAATTTTTCTGTCATATATATATATATATATATATACATATGCACACACCGGGTGCAATGGGTCATTTGTCAACATTTTGTATTTTTAATTTTGCGCATCCTCATTGTTTATTATTGATTTTGTCAACTGTACAGTATAATAGTGTCATTTGGTCACCATCTGTGAGAAAAAGTGCATTACGACACAATTCACTCTGCCAGAAATTTGGAAATGGCATGCTGTACTGCTTGGCATTTGTGCTGGAAGCTCCAATACGAACATTTCAGTGTTTAGGTGTCAATCTGATGACAGTGCAGAGGATCCGTTAAGAGTTGGAGGAGTCTAATGGTGATTACAAAGGTACAGTAGCTCAGAAAACTCACTGATTGTTCTGATAAGACAAGAACTCTCAGATTTGTTGGTGAGAGCCTTACTTAACATGGAGGCCTACATCAAGTGCTTTGAGGATTGCTGCTGGAAGCCCCTATGTCTAGCAACAGGACTCTGCAGTATTCCACACAAGCAGGAGAACCCAGTCATGTCTTTCAGACAATTTCTGCGACCATATCACACCTTACATAGACCACCTAACTTCCCAGACTGCAACCCATTTGATTAATATATGCGGGATGCAGTTGAGCGAGAGACCAACAAACCTCCTTGTAACACCAAAAATGAACAAATGGCAAGGATTATGGCAGTATTCTCTAACTGAAACAAGGAGACTGTCTAGAAGATAACTGTAGTCTGTTGTAAACTAGAGATAGAATTAAAACAAATAATAAAATTTCCATCTGAAAAAGTAAAAAAAGACCAACACCTTTTTTCTTTTTTTTGATTTTGACCCCCTTATTTGTTATTGTTGCTTTAAAAGCAAAGTTTGTTAGAAGAGGGACTATTTTTATAATATTGAAATTAAACTGAACCGTCTCTTTGTTTAGTTTTGTTGCTGAGTGAATATTTTTCACCATTTCAGCTTCATGCCCAGGTACAAGCCGAAGCAGCCAAACACTCCAACATGGGTGAACGTAGACACACCATGCCAGTTGACACTGCCCACACATCTAACGAATTGGTTTTTGATTTTTCAGGATTATCAGAGTAAGCATTTATCTTTTACTTTCATTGGGACCCTCACCATAGCATCGTTGTTAACAAGTCAGTGTGTTTGATACTCTTTTGGTGCACTATAATTCTAAAATCTAGTCCTAAGCTGAGGCAAACTTAGTAAAATCCTATAGCAGTATTGGTAAGTCATTATTTATGTCAAAAGTTTGAGCCACACTTATGCTGTATTAAATTAATTATTAAATCCCTAAAAGCTTAGTATCTTTTTTTTTTTTTTTTTGAAACCACATTTAAGTATCTAGTCTACACCAAAATGGGGAGGGCTCCCCTTTTTCACTCACTCTGCTTTCTATTCATCATATGACCATTACTCCGAGAGTAGTAATATGCAATCTTTTCTACTATGATCAGCCATTCTTGATTATTTTTTTTCTGACTTTTATCATTGGATATATTCAATTAATTGACTGAAAGCATTGATGGAAGATGAGGAAATTGAAAAAAAGCTGCATACCTTAGACTTGCAAAAACAATGAGTCTACATAATCTGGAACCTTAAAAATGACCAGCAGTATGGCAGAAAGTGCTCATTCACAAATATTCAGACAGTATCTCCACTCTTTGAACCCAAGAATAAAATTAGGAAAGAATTAAAAATTTAAAAATAAAACAAAAACAAGGCTTCATTTTTAATGAAACCTTTATCAATGAAAAACTAATGCCTTAATATGCATTATTTTAAAATCTGATATATCCTTTTAATTATGAGTATTACCTTGAGATTTGGCCTAATAGATTTGTCCAATCAGAATATTTGCTACTATTTGTTTTTCTACTGATCAACAGTTTTTGGTTTTTCTGCTGCCATTTTGAAAAATGAAAGACAATCCTTTCTTGTCCCACCCAGGTTATTTACTTTTGAGAATGAGTTAACAACAAAACTATCAAAAAAGAATGAGATCAATAGTCTCTTCAAATCTTAGTCAAATTGTTATACTTTTCTTTCTTTTTTTTTTTTTTTTTTTTTTTTTTTTTTAATCATTTCACCTCAAGCATGGCAATAAAGCCACTAAGACACAAATAGTTACTGAGTGTTAGAGAATATGTGAAAAAAAAACACTAAGGAGAGAGAACAATAAAAGAATAGGAATTAAGAAGATATTGACATTACATTTAAATTTTTGAAGATCTGTTGTAGAGTAGTTTTCACAGTGGAGGCTTGTATTTCAATAAGTCGTCCTAAAGTAGATTCGGCATACAAAACGTTAGGAACTTGAAATAAGAGTTTATGTGTGGGAGAGTCTATTAATAATAGAATAGGTACGTCAGGTATAACAAGATCATAGTTGACTGGAAAGCAAGAAGAGAATTCTTCAAGTGAGAAGTTCGTTAGTGGAAACTGTTAACATAGAACTTAGTTACATCTAGCCAATTTAATTGTAAAATGATAAGACCTTACTGCCAATCTAGTACTAGGCTTAAATCCATAAAGTCTAGGTACCACAGAAGAAAGTTCATCAAAACAATTACCGTGTTATCGTGGTGGGAAAAGTATCAATCAATCTCCTCTTCTCAATCTCAGCTTTGAATTAAATAGTAAGATCTCTATTTGGAAAAAACTTTATTCTCAAAAAAATTGTTAGTGCAATATTTGCTTGCAAAAAAAGAAAAGAAAAGATTTATTCTTACAATCCAAAATAGGTTTTTGTCTTTAAATAACCCACAAAGGGGTGATAATCTGTAAAATAAAATAAAAAGCAAATGAAATAATCAACAATCCCATTTGGTGATTGAGCCTTCTGAATGTGAAGGACAAATGAATGAAAAAATGTAATATGAAGGAGTTGTGATTGGTTCTAATGATGAGCAGCACCGTTGTAATGATAGTAAATAAAGCATGCTGCTGTTTTTTGTTATTGCTAATCTGTGACTCGTGTTGGTCTTTTCTTTTTTCTTGCCATCCATAAAAAAAAAAAAAGACATGCATTGTATAGTTTTCTATAAATAGTTACCATGACATGATTTTCATGTGGTTCTTCTGATCTGATATCCAAATTCTTGAAGTAATTGAGTGAGACTAGAAAGCAGAAGAATTAATAGACTTTTGGAGATAAGCTTAATATGGCAGAAATTAAATTGGTTTGTACTTCTGACCTCTAACCTTTCCCTACAAGTTTTGAAATATACCCAGTGATTGCAGTTGGCATAAAATTGCTCCTTTATTGACTAAACAATTCTATTTTATAATTTGCACAAATAAGAGTGAAATTTGACACTTGAAATATTACCAGGACACCAGATGTTTATGTGGCCAGTTTATTACTGCTGAAGAAGCTAAAGACTTGCACATTTGTCCTCAGAGCAGCAATTTAGTCCCATACTGTATGAAAAGAACGACTTGAAGCATGCTTCAGATTCTCAACAAAAGCATTTACATCATCTATTAATTACAGAAGAGTTAGATAACTGAAAACCATCTCGGTTGTTATACAAGATGAAGCAACTGTTATGATAAAGTCTATTTTAAAACAGTATTTTGTAACAATTGTCACTTTAAAAAAACATTCTGGATTCTTCAGAGGAGCTGTCTACTGAATATCTTGACACTTACCAGTTCAGTTTTTATGCTGATGACATAACTATTTGCTCCTGTCTTAATAGCAAATTTGATAAGTTCAACAAATCACAACTGACAGCTGATCTTGAAAATTACCTCCAGTCATTAAACTGGGGCAAGAAATGGCTTGCAAACTTTAAAGGAATTTATGGTAAATTTGAGGAGGAAAGCCTATAAGTAGATCCCAGTCTACTCTTATTATGTCTTGAAGTCAATTATCACAACTTTTTTTGTCCATGTTCCATTTGGATTATGCAACATAGTTACAAATTTTCCAGAAACTTATAGAGCAAGTTATAAGAAATATGCATTTCATCTTCACACATATCAACAATTTGTTTGTTGCTAACGAGACAGCAGAAGAGCCTCAAAAAGACCTGTGTCTCTTATTTATATGACTAACCAAGAATGGCATTGTTTTCAAAGTAATGACATCTGAATTTGGTGTAGACTGTCTGAATTTTCTCAGCCATCGTCACAGAACAAGGCATTTTACTCTTAGAGGAAAATGTGACAACCATGAATGACATCCCACCTCAGTTTGATAACTATGATAATTAACAGGCATAATGAATATTTATTGATTTTTTTTTTTTTTTTTTTGTCATGTGTACTAGCCATGCTGACATTTTATATTGAAGAATCTTCCTAGACATACACATATCGTCCTGGGTAAGACGATAAACTACATCCAGCAGCAAGGCCTCTGATCAGGAGGTTTTGAAGAGCGTGGAACCACCTCTTAATTGCTGATGTTCCCAGGTCCACGCTGACCCAGAGTGGTAGCACCTGTTAGGGTCCCAGGTATGGGCAAATAGTTAACTATTACCAGCAATACTTTTTTGAAAAAAAAATTATTACCAGCAATTTTGAAAAAAAATATTACCAGCAAACAATTTTGACAAAAGAAAAATATTACCAGAAATAGAAAATGTTTTGATTAAAAACCCAAAATATTACGTAAAACAAAATAAACCAAACCAATCTAAACCAAAGAATACATATTCTATTCATATGAATCTATCCTAAAAATGTTGTCGGTATTAAATAACCCATTTGATATGCCATAAAACAAAATAAACCAAACCAAACCAATCTAAACCAAAGAATACATATTCTATTCATATGAATCTATCCTAAAAATGTTGTCGGCATTAAATAACCCATTGAGGTTGATATGCCGTAAAACAAAATAAACCAAACCAAACATACATACAAACCTCTTCCATAGACTATTGCATTTGACGCAGCAATCTAATATATCAACAAAGATCTTGCTGAAGTGATGTTGTGATATTCATCTAAAGATTGCCACATATGCCTTATAATAGATATGTTTGATACTGCTAGAAATGGGAAATTCAGAGAAACCTTGGGCATTTTTCTTGAAAAAAATTATGAGATATAGAATATTTGGTAAAGGGTTAATATTATTTGAAAGGTCAGAAATTCACTCTTTATACTGAGCTGTATATATATAACTTGCAGTCAAAGCCAGATATACCCTTTCTCAAGCGCTTGTGATGGCTATTTATCTCTTGATTTTATGTGAACATCAGACATGTCACAGATAAAGGTAATAGTAACAAACTTATTTTCACACCTTGCAATATTGTCTCGGCATCTATTGATCTCGTGTATAGCAAATAATCAAAAAGGGAAAAAATCTTTAGTCTTCACTTAATGGTAATGTTATGATGCCAGGTGGGGAGCGCAAGTCATGGGAAATAGAGAAATAAGATGATGCAACGATTGCTTGATTAAAACATAATAAAGGTAGTTTATTTCGATACCTACAATTTGGTGCTAATCATGGTTTGTTACGGATAATGTTTATCAATTAGCTATCACCAAGACAGGAGGTAGCCATCTTGGAATCCCAGAATGTATTTAGCTGCACCAAGGGCAATAATCACTTTAGGGTGGTGGTGGGGGTGTCATAAGGAGTTATCTCCCTTTTATCTTAGGGAGATAACGCCTCCCTAATACCTCCCCTTTGAGCTGTGTGCTGATACGACTTTTGTCACGGGTTGACCTGCATTGGATTTGCTCGGTTTCAGATGTGAGGTGACAACCTAGGGAATTCATTTATATATATATATATATATATATATATATATATATAATGTACTGCCTCTTAATACTTTGTAGGCTCTGCAGGTGTTCCTGTAGGAAATTGTTTATAGAATAGAAATGTGTGTGATATACATGACATACTGGCTGGAATAGACAGGAGTTAATCTACTATGAAGAAATATGATTATCCTTTTATGAAATGGACTCGTCATCATTGTGATATCAAATTGAACCAAAGTTGATCTTCTGTAAATATCTCTTGAAATCTGTTTTTATCTAGCAAATCTTACACTTGAGGGATTTTTTTTTTTCTCAAGAGATGGAAATGTCCAAAACTTTTCAAGGGACTGAAATGGCCAAAGATTTTGTTCTATCTATCCATTTTTTTTTTTTTTTCAATAGAAAACTAAAAAAAAAATCCAAACATTCCCCTTTCTGGAAATGAATTACATGATTTTTTTTGTTAATAAACAATTTGTGTATAAGCAAACCACACTACTCATTTAAGTGTGATTTAATTAAAAAAAAAAGAATGGTTGCTACCATTATTTTATACTGTATTCAAGAATTTTACCAATTCAGTTACATTGAAATATCTTTCTTTTCTATTTATTAAATCAAAACATAAAAAAATGTAAACAACTTCATTACTAATTCTTGTGCTGGTCAAAATCTTAAGTTGCTCATATATATATATATATATATATATATATATATATATATATATATATATATATATATATATAAAATCATGTATAGGTTAAACTAACCTTTCACCAAGAAACCTTACCTATGGTCAAATCACACTGTAAACACTTGTCCTTGTACAATCACTGAAGTTAAATAGTGTCTAGCTTGGTCAGTACTTAGATGGTGAGGGGCTGCTTGAGAACACCAGGTACTGTAAGAAGCCTCCTACAATCAGAAATATGTTTTGAAGGTTGATAAGCCATTAAAAACCAAATTGATTAATCCCAAGAACTCTCATATTGCTAAATATTTTCTAGTGTTCCTTCAGTGGTAAAAAGCTTGTTAAAGGCAATGTTAGAAGTTAATATTTGAAATGGATTCAAATGCTCATTTTCAAAGAATCAGCCACTTTAAAGATTGGTGCCTGGTACAAAATTTCATATTCTACTATTCATCCTTGTTAAAGTCAAAGTTAAGCCTAGTAGATATATTTATCACAAGTGTGTAAACTCTGGATCTTCTCAGTTAATTAATTCCAAATAATCTAAAGTTACTTATTGCAAATATTGATTTAAATTAATTATAAATTTTAAATCAAAATTTTTGTCTTTTTATTAAATTTTGACACTCTTTTGAAATTATAAATTGTAAATCAAAATTTATTTAATTTGCTTCACAACAACTCCAACCCTCAGAATGAAAAATTACCAGAAATTAGAGAGTTAGTCACATTTTGTAAGTGCAGATGATATTTGTGGTACTTACAAGGAATTTTTTACAGTTTAAAAAAAAAAAAAAAAATCTGTTTTTCATTTGTTTATCAGGGTGAATGCAAACGCAGACACCACACTTACCAGCATCACCCACATTTTTATATATATATATATATATATATATATATATATATATATATATATATTTTTTTTTTTTTTTTTTAATTAAAAAAAAGGTAACATTACATTAATTTCATTAATCAGATTGATTTTTTTTTTTTTTGTATTTTACATTTTTTAAACATACATTTTTAAATTGCCTCTTAATTAAATAGGATGTGTGGGTAGTGAAATGAATTGCAGTTTGAAATGATAAAGTGGAGAGCAAAGTTCAAATTCCAGTTATGTTACATACTTTTATGCAAATATCTTTGGGAAAGATATGAATACCTCTAGCTATGGGTTAAATTGTAGAACAAACTGGGCTCTTCAACCTTGGGTAGCAACCAGTCTGGGAGAAGGACAACTCTAAATTCAAAACCATATGCAGTGAAGCACATACTATTCAGCTAATGAAATGATCATAGCATTTAAAATGATTCTATGATCCTGACTGTGGTCAACTTTGATTAAAAAATATAGGGATTTTCTGCTCTTTTTTTTTTTTTTTTTTTCCAATTAAGATTTGCATTCATATTTTTTAATTTGAAAATCAAGATCTATCAATGTTGTAGCTTTTATCTGTTAAATGTATTCAAATCAAATTGTACAAGAAAAATGGGATTGATATAACTTTTACTAAAGCTTTTAAATTGCAGCTAAAGAGTCAGACTAATTTACAGTTACTAATTGTCTAAAAAGGACTTTCTTTCTAAATATGTCTCTTATATCCTTGGAAATTGCAAAAAAAAAAAAAAAACTTGGTGATTTGTTTTATTTTTTTCTCTTTCCAGTGATTCCTTGTCAGAGAAAAGTCAGAAGCAAGGCAAGCGATTTGCTCTCAATTTTACCTCCTCTCCATTATTGGGCAAAAAGTCAAGTGGCTCTCGAAAAACAGAAGCCAAAGATGTTCCTCAAAGTTCCAAGAGTCGCAATAGCCAATCAGCAAGCACTGCCAATACAAGTCAAGCATCTTCCTCAAATGTCCTTAGAATAGGCTCTGCTGGAAATGTATCTGGATCCCCATCACACATGGATGAAAACTCACCTGTGATTAGCTCTCGTTCCCGACGCCAGGTGGAGGAGTATGAAAAACAGCGACGTGCACTGCTAGGTCAAGGAGATCTCAATCGTAGCAGAGATAAGGTGATAACATGTACATGTTTACCATTCCTTTTCCATTTCTTTCTTCTCTTCCTTTTCTGCAAACTAATGACAAATAAAATGTCAGGGTGGGGTGATTTCTCTTTTTCTTAAAGTTGATATCTTTGTGGAATAATGGTGTTGTTATTTCAGTAATCTTGCAAATTATTTAAAAAAAAAAAAAAAAAGTTTCGATTTTTTGCTAAGAAAAAATTAGTAAAATATGTGTGCATGTATATATCTACATACATTGTATTTGGTGTTAAGTTACAAGGGAGTGATGAATAATACTTGGCTCAACCAAGAATCCCGTCGAAAGAAAAATCTGATGTTTGGTTAAATTTTGGGAAATGGGTTGAACCAAGAACTTTTCAACACCACCTCGTCTTGCTCATGTTGTGTTGATAAAATACTTTTATTTCTTAAAGTTTGTTCAGATTAAAGCTTTGTCAGTTGAAATGATTGCTGTAGGGAGATGTTTAACAAGTTGGGTCATCGTTGCATGTTCCTTGAATGTTACGTGTTGCTCGGATCAGAATAAGCAGAAGGGAGATAATAAATTCATGAAATTCTATTTTTAATATAAAGGGAGATAATCATTAAATTTTTGATGATTAAATTATTACAATTGAGAAGAAGAAATTTCCCTTTTGATATTTTAAAATTTTATGATTTATTTGAATCTAAAAAAAAAAAAAGAAGGATTATTTCTTAATAATTCATTGTAAAGTTTATTTCTTTCTTTCATTCAAACAATGGTGTAAGTTTGAAATTTGTAAAGTGTACCAATAGTGTGTTTTTTAATAATAATCATGACAAGCTCTTTTTTTATTTTATTTCTCTTTGAGAAAGTGTGCTTATTGTAGGAAAATATTCAATTGAATTTAAAACTTTTGTGTTTGACTTCAACCTTTTGAATTCAGCTTTTTATCTGTTTTCGTACATGAACTATTGATTTTTTTTCTATTAAGAACTTTTTCTTTTAACTAAATACTAAAGTAATTAACTATCTAACTAAACTATTAGTAATAAATAATGACATAGTGAATTAGCATTTATTTTTTTTTTATTTACCTAAAAGTCCTGCTTAAGTCAAAATTCTTAATTAGATGGATTTGTCTCAAAGAGTAAAAAAATTCTTACATTCTTTGTCCTTGTATTGGAATTAGCATTTGTATTCTATTGCACTTATGTTAAACAGAAAATATCTTTTCCAGTTAATGGCTACATTTTTAAGGTTATTTGTCAAATATATTTCCATTTTTATTTATTTCAAGAAAAAAATGTTATAAGCCCCAAACAGATTATACATTGTTTTTTTTTGGGGGGGGGGTCCTAGCCTGTGAAAATCTTATCTGATTACTTTAATGATTGATAAAGTTCTGTATTTTATGATTAGAACTATGTAGCAGGAAAACAGTTTCTTCTATAGCACAGACACTGGAACAACACTCACAGTGGACTCTGGTTTAGCACATGCTGAACACAAAAGCTTACTCTCATCCCAACACTCTCCTCTTTTATTCGTTTTTTTACCCAAGCCAGAAAATTAGCATCTTGCACACACTGCCAGACTTGGTCAGTGATGCATGTGCCATGTCATTCCAGTGCCAATGCTCATGTGGTTTGTCTCGCACATAATTTGCTCATCTTATACACAAATTTAGGATATGCCACTCTGGCCCTCATGAACTAATAATAGATTTAGTGGAAATCTAAATAAATTTAGAAGCTGAACTAAGTCTACTAATCATTTGTGATATGAATGTTAGTCTTTGATTTTTTTTTTTTCTTTTAGAATTCACTCAAATGTTAGCACATAAGATATTACATTCTCTTGGAGAGAAAAATTTGGCTGTCCTTTTTCTGGATAATTCTTAGATTTTTATCTAATGCCTGATTATACATATCTATAAATTTTCTGCATTAATTTAATGTTGTTAGAGACTTGTAATTCTTATTGTCTCTTGTCAAAATTTTATTTTTTAAAATGAAACTGCATTATTTCAGTTTACCATAAAATGATAGAAATTGACTTTTGGCAGGACTTCTTTTAGTTTTAGGAATATTTGTTCAATGCTTTGAGTTCTTTAGCTGTGGATCATTTATTAATTTATTATCCTTAGAATATTAATGTTTTAATGGATTTGAAGAATAGCACTTTTTTTGTTTATGTGCAAAAACAAACATTCTTAGCTTCTGTTTCATGTTTTTTTTTATTTTATTTGTTTTATTATCTGTTAATGTTTTCTTTGTTGATACACAACTCCACCATCTGATTGCACCTCTTCAGCTATTTTCTTTCACCTTTGTTTGTTCTCTACACACACACGCACACAGTTTTCTTTCACCTATGTCTGGTCTCCTCACAATATTTTCTTTGCCGACTATCTGATTGACACCCACACACTATTACCTTTGCCCTCTGTCTGCTTGACACTTACACTATTTTTTCCACCTCATTTTGATCGTCCTCTACCAGTATTTTCTTTCACCTCACTTTGATCATCCTCTACCAGTAATTTCTCTCCCTATCTCTTATTTTGGCCCCCAGCCTCCGGATTGTTTTGCATTCTGCATGTATTGTTTTATTTTTTTTCTGTTATTAATGCATTCATTTATGATAAGAATTTAATGTTTTAACCCCAAATTTTCTAAAGATTTGATGACTTCATCTATGGACTACTTTTTTTTAAAATACATTTTAATTTTTTTTAGTATGTATTTTGGACAGTTCTTTCTCTGGTCATCTTCAGGTTACATACTATGAAATTATTTATATATTTTTAAAAAATTTTGTCAATAAACCTCTGCATCATCTGAATTCTTTGATGTGATCACTATTTGTGTTCCAGAAAGTACATTTTATATTTCATTACTAATTTCTTTTGTCTTATTCTGTTTCTTAATCTCCTATATTCAATGTCATTCAGTTAAGAATATGTAAAGTGTGGACATCTAGCACTTATCTAATTGCTTTTATTCTTTCTGTAGAATATTTAATTAAATATGATCAGTTCCTATCTTATCCTAATTTTCATTTTAATGAAGCCTTGGTACAGTGGTATAAAATGACCTATGATTCAATTGCATGCAATTTGATGAAGTTCAAATAAAAAAAATACTTGCTTGGAAAGAACAGAAAGAATGAGGACATTAACTTCATTTGGATTTCAACAAAATATCACAAAATTTCTGGCATGGATAAAAGTTTATAAATTTCTATTCCTTGGCATTGATGACAATTTCTTTCAAACTTAAAAATGCTTTTTAATGTGTGTTGAAAAAGATGTGGCTTACTGACGTCAATTTGTTTTAAATCTTTTTTCATGCTCATTTGCACTTTGAATATATTTATTGCTTTTATGTTATATATATATATATTTATTTTATTTTTATTTTTTTATTATTATTCTCCAAGTTGTTTGGAGGGTTGTCATGAATATTGTTTGTTATCTTTATATTTTGTCAAATAAGTTCTTCCAATTGGTTTTCTTGTTGTTGCTGTCTTTCATTTAAGCTGATGTGTTCTTTGGCCTTCTCCATTGTGAGGTGAGTCATTGTCATCAATTAAAGTAATGTTCTCAATTCTTGTAAAAACCCCAGATCAACAAGAGTCCAAACAATTCTAAGAAATAAACTTAAATAAACAAGTAATTGATTTTGTTTATTCCTATCAACATATAATTGACACTTTCATTTTCCATTATTTTTCCTTTCATTGCGATCTTAGACTTGAATCCTGATTCATCAAAAAAGGCAACACCCTTTTAAAATTATGTAATCCCTTCCCCCTCCAACTTAAACTATATAATAATATTTAGCTTAAAAAAAGTAAATCATTTTTTTCGGAAGTTATTGAGAATAGAACAAAAATTTTAATTTTAAGTTTAGTTTTTAGTTCTGAAACATAGTAATTTCTGTGTTGCAATGAATGCATATTTTTAAATAATAATATTGTTATATATATATATATATATATATATATATATATATATATATATATAATGTGGTTACATTGTTATGGAGTAATAATTAGTAAGCTAGTCTATTACTAGTATAGAGAATTTAATCCTCACTGATTGCTTCATTACTATGGCCTTGTTCCAGGCTAAGCTAAGCCTGATAAATAAGGTCAACTACTATTGATTGGTATTTTATAAAGTCATCTCACAGACTGATTGTTATCCTGACATGGTGACCCATGCTTGCCAGACTAAACCACGTATACTAAATAATAGGTTTGCCTATCATCCAGTTTACACTCTTTCCCATTCTTTTAAACTGGAGTAGAGTTTTATCTCTTGTTTACTGTTAAAGATTGGGTTTCTAGTTCATTCTAAAGTCTAGTTAAGCTCTATACTTCTAATGCTTGTCTTTTTTTTTTTTTTTTTTTTTACACTAATATAACTCCACACGATGACCTTCTACCTTGAATGACTCTTGGGCCTTGTGTTGGGTGAATATTAGTAAAAAATTAAAAAAAAAAAAGATTCATCCACTCAGGAGGGGAGATAATTCCTCTCCTTACTATAACTCTAGACCTGAGTAGTGATATTATGAAAGTTAAGACTGAAGCAATCTGGGTAGATCAATACAGATGCTAATTTCCTCAGTACTTTCTTTTTGGTTTCAGGGGTTCTTTGAATCTCTTAGGGACTTTTGCTTCAAACACCCATGTAACTGGCTTTATTACTGCAACTTTTTCTACCTCTTTGTTCATTCTACCTACCCTGAAAGTTGTTTTTAGTATTTGACCATATACTCCAAATTGTGATAATCTTATATTTTGGTTTACAACATTTTCATGTTTTTTTCATCAGCTAATATCTCATCTCCTCATCATAATTTGTTTAGTTTTATACACTTTTCTGTTTATTTTTCTTACAAGCAAAAAACTGGCTTTTGTGAGGATGTTCTCACAAGAGTAGTTTTGTTCTGAAAGGCTTCCCTGTTGATGAAATGTATCAAATGAAACCTGGTCATTTTAAAAATAGCAAGAA